TGATAACATTTACCTGCTAACATTCTTGGTACGACGACGGTATACAGCTTCATAACATTCAGTATCTAAAATACACAAGTTCATGTATATTACAAAACAAGATCTATAACTGGTTTTAAAAGAACTACACATTAAAGATTACAGTGTTCGTGTTCTTAATTCGACGATATGTGTGTATCATTTCATTTATCCATATCGAGTTAAATAGAAAAGGGCAATAGATTTAAATTAATACTAGGATACACTCTTAATATACATTACATTTATATGCATCGGTTGACCAGTAGTTGTTTTTACAAGCAGAACACTTGTTTGGGTATGAATCCTGTATCCTTCCTCCTACTGCATTATACTCAGCGCATACTCCTTCAAAACATTAAAGACAATCATCGGCGTCTTTCTTTTTTTTGATAATAATACACAATGCGTTTTCAGGAATTAATAATGCAAAGCCAGAGAGGAAAAAATAATAGAACATGTACATACCAAAGCCTATCCTTGTACGCGGTGCACAAACTTTAATGGTTTTGTTTTGCCAAGGATTTATTAGACAGTGGTAGAAAAGTGCACTGGAACATTTATGTGAAAAGGATGAACAGTTTTTCTTCACTGCTTCTGTATCCCACATCGATTTGCTATAAGGGCATGTCTGCACTTCTTCCATTGTAGCGCGTGATTCACTGCAAAACTCCTCATCGTAACAAGAACAAAAAATCTAAAACAATATAAAGGGTTAGACATTAGATTTCTCTCAAACTATTCGAAAGAAGAAATGATATTTGTAAACTATCTCTAACATTTAATTCTTTTAGTGCTTGTCAAACATATAATTATGCAGAGTTTCACCGAAAAACTTGCATTAGAAAGAAAAATAAAAACAATGCTCTCCCAAATTATAGAATATTTCTTTTTTTTAATTCCTACCATCAAAGAAAACGCCAGGAATACTGTTATGAAGCACTTGGAAGTTCTCAGGCTTGGTGAAGATTGATTTCGTTTCCTACAGGCCATTTTACGTCAATACCTTAAATATAAAAAATATCTTCAATTATTCTTGATAAAGATTACATGTACGAGGGCTGCCCGTAAAGTTCGTGGACAAGCTCAAATTTAAAGAAAGATGGTGTCATTGATATTTATTATTAACATACGAGGGTTGTCCGTAAAGTTCGTGGACAAGCTAAAAATTAAATAAAAATTGAGTCATTGATATTAATCTATTATCATATTTCTAATACTTTACTTAATGTGAATTGAAAAATGAAAAATTTTATTCAAATTCAAATGTTTAATTACAATTGTGGCTTCTTAATTAGACTAAGAATGGAGACCTAGAGCACCGCAAAATTTTAATTAAAAATTACTTATTATTTTTATAGATTACATTTAATTTAGTATCTTATAAAATTCTGCGGAAATCTTCCTGACTTTAACATTATGAGGTTGACAGAAGTTAGCACATCAAACTTGCAAAATCTGAACTTTCAAAGTTTCAAAATGGCCGAGCAATCAAAGTTAGAACATTAAGACAGGATTGGAATTCGTCAAAAAGGGACGTTTTCGGCATAGGTGGAGCAGTGGGCAGTGAAAAAATTATGAGTATACATCAGAAAAAAAACACCCACAGAGACCAATACATTCTGTAAACAATCGCAAAAACATAATTAAAGAAGCTGTTCATTAGTATTTAAATGGCATGTAATATTTTCGGACAGAAGGAACAGTTTACAAGATGACAATCGTGAAGGAAAACCATCATTCCGAGATTGCAGTACTGTACACAATGAATTTCTTAAAGTTACGTGCCGTATTTCCTAAAATAAAATCGTTTTTACGCGAACAGAGGTTCGATGATTGCAGGATATGAGTCAGATTAAATATGTTTTCACGTATGAAAACTGAACATTTTGTGCACATTTTTATGACTGGTTAAAAGGGCATGAGAAATATACTGAGTTAATTAAACGGTGACTTTGTTGAGAAAAAGTACTTGTTTTAAGTTTTTAACGTCGGATAAGGTCAAGAATTTTCCTTTTGGTGCACCGGGTATGTCAGATTCCTGGTTTCATGACAATGATCAATCGGTTGGCAATCATGATAATTTTATTCATCGTTTATGCAAATAATCAATCAAGCTACTCGATTGATCACATGAAACCAAAATACTAGACAGAGCCTTATTCTTTAAGTACGTAGTGTAATGCTTTAGCCAGAATTATTATATAGATTACAACACATGATCGATCGAAGAGGAAAACATCGCAGGAAAAACAGCTTTTTACATGCAAAAAGAACTACAAAAAAGATATGATCATGTATAAGATGGATTCTTCTCCGTTTTCCCCATTATGACAAGGAGCATCGGGCGAGTCCGACCGGTTGGCAATAGATGGTACTTGATCCCATATCGGATGCTTTGGAGGTTTACTCTAATCCAATTTTGTTTGTATTGTTTAAGCTAAATGGACTTTTGAGTGTGAATACCATTCGTTTTTTCGTTACATCTACTAATCACGAATACTTCTAAGTGGACAATTATTCTCAGTAGTTATTTTGTACTTTTGTACATGGAAAAATGGTTTATATTCTCTTCCTTTTTTACACATGGGGAATATACCACTAATAACATAATTACGAAGCTTTAATGAACATATTTTTCAAATTGAGGGACTTAATTTAGGTAGCATGATATCTATTTAAAAAAAGGATATGGAGATAACGGACAGTATTAAATATCAGAGTCCATAAAACAATACAAAAATAGGAGCAGAGCAAACACGAACCTCTAAAACATCGAACAAATACTTGTAGTTTAACATTAAACAAATACATGTAGTTTAAATAACTATCGCCTATTCTTATTTTCCACTGAAGATTATTCCATTAATCTAAAATTTGGGTTTTGTATGTAAGTTATTAATATGAGACATTGATCAACCGAAAAAAATTTGCTCTAACTTATATGTCTGTTTTACATCAATATTTATTTTGTTAATACGAGGGGTGATCAAAAAGTTCGCGAACTAATTGAATAACTCTCACAAATATATTGATATAGGGTTTCAGTGTTGAAAATGTTTCAACGTAGTCCTCTCCAATTTTAATGCACATCTGCAACCATTCTGCCCATGTGCGGATCACATGATATTTGCGGTCATGTGACAAGCTTCTGTCACAGAAGCTTTAATTTTTTTCAGACTTTCATATCTCTTACCATGCAATCGGCAATCCTCGGCTGACTCCGCTACGCTCCATTCAAACCTCGGATGTGATAGGTGGAGGAATACGCATCAGATCGCTACATTTCTCCGCCGGAAACTGCCTTGTCACTCATTTCATATTTCGCTCTGCCTCAAGTTCTTAGAAAAGGTTTCTTGATTTGTGTAAATCCTCGTGCCAATTACAACCAAATGTAAGTATTCTTTGAAAGCAAGAACACAGTCTTGGGCGTGCATCAAAGTAACTCGGATTTCTAAAGTATAATATTTGAATGAAGTTCAAATAAGATCACATGACTGAATCAGCAAGATGGAAGATCACCGTTGACGTCCGAGGTTATGTGCGAGGCATGAGTCATCCGAGGAACTCCGATTGCTCACCATGCAGGTTATTTTTTGAAACAAAAACAGTCCATTTGTCAGCAATTGTCTTAATCTCAACGAACGTATGGGTGGATAATGTAATCCTCTTGCAGAATGAGCATGGTGACCGTCAAACCCAAATCTTCTGTCTTTTGAGCGTCGTATATTTCATGTTGATAACGTATGGGTGCCCTCACCTTATCATATCTGATATGTTTAAAGTCTAAAGAAAACGATAATTTAGGGATTTGATAATTATATTATTGTTCAGATATTCATCTATTCTTTTTATTGTAAGTTGGCTATCTTTTTTTATCAAATCGCTTAAAGAAAGACACGTCTCTCTCCCAGTTTGCATTTACTGGGCAACAGAACAAACATCATATTTAAACATCTCCCTTCCTTTATTTAAGCAATCAATCCAATCAATGACAATACTTTTGGAAAGTAGTTTTTCTTCATAAACCGTATACAAATTATTATAAGCTTCTACAAAGGAATTTCCAAAATATACGTTTAACTTTACAGCCGTTCGCTTCTCGAGTACGACTGAGTCAACCATTTTTAGTCACAAGTGATCTACCTTATGATGTCATTTTCACATTGTGACGTCACAAAGACGGGAAAAAATATTCCATTACATATGCTATTTATAGAACATGTGTATGATTTTATGTGTGCCAAATTTCATTCTGATCTGAATTATGGTTCTGTAAATATAAAAGTTCTGCCTGTGATTATGAAACACTAGATTATATTAAACGTTGTGGATTCTCGCAAACAAATACATGCTATTTTGAGTGCACAGGATATATTTTAATATATTTTTATCTTTGTTAAAATTTAGAAGTGTTTCCGTTTTCAGCTCAGTGATATCATTTGGTACTCATAATTGCCTTGCACTAAATAGTGTGTGTAAAAAAACAACACTTTTAAAGAAGAATCGAATTCGAAATTTAAGTATTCTTCTCTGGTGTTTGTAACAACCGCTGAAGAAATATTAGACAATGAGCACCCGTTTATGATCAGTAAGAAGCTTGCTGAAATATACGAATTTTGTTAAAATTTTTATTTTCATTAAGCTGTTTTCTTTTCATTAACATTGTTTTGTGCATGATGACTTTAGAACAGAGTATTCCTGTCACAACTAGCGTCGGCACGATAAAGATCCACCCCTGCTCAATGATGAGTTTGTCGGGTCAAGTTCTAATAGTACTAAACAGACCGTTCATGGACAGGAAGTTATATCACAGATGGAAATTACATGTCGTAATAAAATCTAGCAAGTGGCATTAAACTACAAGTGAGAGATGACAATAACATTAATAACATTAAGTGAATCATCAATCGATAAGTTACATTTTTATAACTAAATAAGAAATAATATTTATAGATTCAAACCTTTGGTTATGAATTGTACGAAATGGTTTACCATAAAACTAAATACAAGCTGGTTGCTTCTTGGTTTATTTAAACAGATTTTCTCTTAATTAAATTGTTAACAAAAACCCATACCTGTTTTAAATGTTCAGTTGTGTTTAAATGCAGAATAATGGCAGCAGTATATTGTTGAAAACGAAAGTGCTTTTCTGAAACATTGATTTTGCTAAACAATTTATTCATTGTTTCTACGGGTCAATGCCGTAGTAAAATCAATGGGTAACGTTTTAAAAACAAAGGCCTGATCACCAGAGCGAGCGCTAGCGAATATTTTTGTTGAAAGTATAAGGAATTTTGGCGAGCGTTCGTGAAAGTTCACTTAGATGAACAGGCCTCAGATCTTGTACAACGTATACATGAAATGCTAAACGGTTTTGAAATTAAAAAAAAATTGTTTCCACCACACTCAGAGCATTTCAAATAAAAGCTTTAATATTTACAATTTATAAACCGTTATTGAATAGAAAATGTACTTGGATTCCACACATGTACTTCAAGTTAATAATTAAAAAAAAACGAGCTATTGGTGAAAAAAAAAGATTTAATTAATTTTCACTGAGCCTTCATAACAGGAAACAGGAATTTGCCCCAAAATATAATTTTATGCTCACAAATACAAGCTTATACAGTGAAAATCAATCATGTACATGTATGTTTTTGGAATATTATTTTCTTTATGTCTGCCTTGTACACTGGAGGAAAGAGGGAGATGTAGTGGGTATGTTCAAATTAGTTATAATATATTTTAGTATAAAAGAATTTTGTTCATAGGGAAATGAAAATAAAATCTTAATCGACCTCTTTATGAAATACAGGCTTTTCAAGATGATCAGAATAATTTATATTTTATGAAAACTATATCTGCTCCTTTTGGTATCATATGCCGACAAATGTAAAGAAATATATCGATTAAAATATAAACACATTTTCTCGGAACCTGATCCATAGCAGTATGTTCGATACCTAGCCGGTTTCAATTCATTGAGGAGATATGTGTATATTATAT